TTTTTGGCCTGGCAAGACAGACCAGGGATGGAGACGGGTGGCGAGGGGAAATATGATAAGACCAACTTTCATTGGTGGTTGATTTGGAGGGTTGGTCGCGACACTCAGGAGATGATGACTGGAGAGTGTGGGGAGAAAGAGAACACTGGAAAGGCAGGAAGGGTTTGCCAGACTTAAAGAACCGATGCTGTGATGCGGTTTTGTTGGCGCTTGGATGCTTGGATACACATATATATATATATTAATGAGCTTAATAAGTATGCTGCACCTTGTTGTTGATCTGAAAGTGTAACTTGAAGCTTTCATTACATACACAGACATTGAGTAAATAGTAGATTCCAAGTAGACGTGTATGGCGAACTGCGTCTTAGAGATCTTAGACTGTTCCTCGGGCTTCGTCACCTTCGTTGCCCTTGCCATCCAGAGGCCTACAGCAAGATCATTATTAATTTGCTGGCCATCATTTTCATTGTGCTCGTCGACCTGGTCTTTGCGTCGGAACGTGCCTCTGAGACTTGGTACTCCTTGGAGATGGAGCTTTGTAGCGAGAGATGGAGCATGGGTTGCCTGAACAAAGAATCCCCAGGGAAACTGGTCTCCAAAGTCTGGACTCTCAGCCAGGTTGGATCAGTCCTTTTGCGTCGAAAAAAGGCGTTGTCAACTTGAAGCCGTTTTGAGGATATGGCTGCTGCGAGCCTTGACTGCGCTGGACAAACCTCCAAGACGGCAAGATTGAGTTCAGCAGACCAGGGCAATGCCTCCGGCTTTGCTACCTAAATAGTAGGTTGACCATTTGGCTTCCAATTTGTGATTTCCACACCTACAACATCTTAACATATCTTAACATCTAGTGACCTAGTGCAGTTGTTTTCAATCTCTTTCACATTGTTTCAAACATTTTCAATCATGAGCTGTGCGAATGCTCAACTTCGCTTGAGGAAAACACAGGAAGTTTGGAGCACGATCAAGCACAACGTGCTGAACGTCTTTGATCCAGACCAGAAGGTGCGGCGCCCATCTTTTGTAAGGCTTTCTTATGAAGTCGATTGTACTTTGAACTGATTTGATCCCGTAAATCATAGCTTATGAAGTCGATTAGACTTCATTCAGGTTCGTTTGTACCAGATTTGATCAGATTTCCATGGTATAACCAGTTGGATCCCGTCGGATTGATCCAGGTCATTTTCAGCAACCTCGATTTGGACACGCAGATCGCCAAGCTGGAAAGCCTTGGCCGGGAGGCCAGCTATGAGCCGCGGTATCATCGAACAGATCCTTGGACTGGTTGGGAGTTGAACTGAACCGATCCCTTTGCTTGGCAATGCACACCCCCAAACCTTACAAACAGCATTGAGTATCCCAACGAATCCAACGAAGCTTTCTATTTATTGTTTTAGTTTCTAGAGTCAATTTCCATGTGAGTCAGTGTTCTTGCCTTTGCCGACACGAGCGGTGAAGCTCAGGCATGGCGGGATGAAATGTTTACCACCACGTTGAAGGCTTGGGCCGGTTGGGCCGCTTGGGCCGCTTGGGCTTGCCGAAAGCTGTTTGTGTTGTGATTTTGAGGAAGCCTCCTATCTACAGTGCATACAAGAAGCTACTAGGAACAGGTGCATCGCTACTGGTAACAAGTGCCTTACTAGTAGTAACAAGAAGCTACTAGGAACAAGTGGCTTCCTATCTACAGTGCATGCACCTGAAAGTTACCCTTGACACTCGACGAGCCACGACACAAGCAGTGGGACGAAAGCGGTGCGTCGAAACCGCCAAACCTCCTAATCAGAGCCGTTCATTGCAGGCGAGCCACCCCCTGTGCCTTCCTTTTTTCGAGGGGCCAGGGGGTTGCTCGCCTCGAGATCCCGAACGGCCATCCATGACCCGTTCGGAGGTGGGGTCCGGCCGCGCCGTGCAGGAGATGCGAGATATTCGCTATTCACTCTCCACGCTGGAACGAATCCTGGCGGATCACGGCTGCGATGGCGCTCAGAAGGCGGGGGTGCTGAGCTTGGACGTTCCAGAGAGGAAGAGGAAGTGCAGTTGGGAGAGCTTAAGGTGGTTAAGTTGTTAAGCAAGCTGGTTCTATAGATATTTTGGCATCCAGCAGCTGTTCGAGTACTTGATAAGAATGAGAGGGATACAAAGAGTATCATATATATCTTAAATGGCCTCGAACCTAGAAGCGTCCTGGCTACTAGTAGTAATGTCCAGCTACTAGTAGCGTCCTTGCATTTGAACCTAAGCTGAGCCTTGCGCATGGGAGGGGGTGCCTCGACCATGCTTAGGCGGACTACTTCAGAAGCGGAGTGTTGCATTCAAGCGCCATCAAGAAGCCAGGAACTAAGTCCTGATGCAAACGATGCCGTGCCAAGTCCACAGGTTGGGTGTTTGTTTGGCAAGTTGGTGCCAAGTCCATGCCTAGTTCCAAGGTTTCATGGATGGATGTGTTTCTCAGGTGGGCGTCGATTCTCTGCGAGAAGTTCGATGTCATCTCTTCTTTGCTGGAGGTCGAAACCTCGATGTCCGCTTTCCGGACACCGTCCTGAAGTCCTGAATGCTGACACATGCTGACACCGATCATGGGCCGGTTGGTTGGAGTTTTTTGAGACTTCCCGGGTAGTTTCTGTCGCCTCATTTTTGGCACGTCACCAAGGTCTTCTCCCACGAGTCCACTCTTCGATGGACTGTGCTGGATGATGAGGCTTTTGGCTTCTGATATTCGCCAGGTGTTGATGCTAAAGAACCAGCGGGCAGTGCTAGGTTTGCTAGGTCTGCTAGGCAGCCGATCCGTACTGACAGAGTCTGATACCAGAAGCCTCGGCCGACCTTCACCGGATTTTAACACCTCCCTTGTTGCTCGGTCCGACCCCAAAAAGACACACACACACACCTCAACTGCATGTCACGCGTCACGCGTCACTCCGGGGGGACGACCTGCGCGGTGTCGGACCGTCGACTTGGGCGCCAGAAAGTGACGAAGCAGTTCCGAGACGAGAGCCATAAGGCGAAGAAGGACTTGCTGCAGGAGAGGGGCCGACTCAATGGAGTCGGTTGTGACGGGTGTCTGCTTAATGGAGTCGGTTGTGACGGGTGTCTGCGGTGATTTGATGGGTGGAAGCTTGATGGGTCACCGGTTTGTCTCAAGCGGCAAGTGCGATGTTTGATTTGCCCAACCGCAGAGTCGCTGAGGAGGTTGTCCGGCTTGGAATCTACAAGCAGGCCGATGGTGCTGATTCGTGCGCGCAGATGGCATTTGTCACAGTCAGATGTTCCAGAAAATTGAATCCTTGAAGCAATCCAGTCACTTGTTCATCCACAACTATCCACAACCTATTGATTCCTTCACCATACGATTCTTTTTCTCAAAGAACACTTCAGCCACTGAGCGGGCCTCTGGGATTTCCCGGGCCATCGGCTGACCAGGACGTGGACCTGTCCAACTCCACCAGCTTCCGGGAGCGAATTGAGAAAAACCCGCTTGTTGCGTTGGACCACCGCGTGAAGACTGGGTTTGCGTGTGTTTGAGGAAGAAAGACTTATATAGGTGAATCACTTCGACTTGATTTATAGAGATGTCACTCAGCATGGGGGGGGACAACACTCCTGATTGGAGACTTTCAACTAACTCAGTGGAGTTAGAGTCGGTTTGAAGCCAGAGGTTGAGGAACATCCCACCTCTGCTTGGGCTGTTGGTCACTGTTCCACTACTTCCGGTGCTGCAGGACGATCCGCTCTGCATGCTTTCCATCTTTCTGGCCTGTACCGATGCTATGCTCTTGTGGGGTGCTCAGAGGCATGGTGCCCCGATGGCCTCAGATCCACACCGGCCTTGGTGCATTCGAATCACTGCAGCTGGGTTCTCTCCGGTCTTGTCGGGTCTTCTGGCACTCGGCTCCGGATCGAGTGCGCCGGTGGTTCACGTGGTTCTGTTCCAGAAGTTTTTGAGGTCCATGCGGAAGATGCAGCACCACATTCTGCGGCTGTATTGAAGCCGGTTGCCAAAGTGCAGCCCTGGGTGAATGGACCGAGCGGACCCACATCGTTTCGGCACATCTGGCCCCATCATCGTTTCGGCACAGGCTACCCATTCTTTTCCAAAGGGCGCCAAGGTTTGGCCCCGAAAGTGATCAGCTGATTCGCCATGTGGAATCTTGTTGGAGTGCTCAACACCTGCTTTGGTGGCTTTGCTGGCGCAAATTCCCAACTCGTAGTTTCTACACATTGGTCCGCATTGTGTCGCGTCTCAGTTCAGCTAGACCGGGTGAGAGGAAAAGAAAACGCAAATGTTTAGATGTCCGCTCATTGCGTTGGACAAACGAAAGCCAATGTCCAAAAGTAAACGGAACCGCGAAGAACTACTTCGAAAGCCCGGCGAACCCTCGCCCCAGTGAGGGTGAACCCGTCCGGCCCACCCACCGTTCGCGCGCTGACTCAGCGCGGGCGCCGCGGTGACTCAGCGCGGCCCAGAGCGCGGCCCGGAGCCGTTTTGAATTCTCCGGTGAGGAGACCGAGGTCTTGGCCAAAGTACCAAGACCAAGGCGAGCAAATTGAGGAATGGTCCAACTTAAGACGAAGCGGCCGGACGATGGAATGGTCTTCTAGAGATTTGCTGTGAATGTCAAAGGAATGGTGGGGGATTCACTGAAGGGTCCTTTGGTTTCCCATCCAAATCATTCCAAAGCTGCTTCTCCACATAGTCGGAAGTGCCAGCTTAACTTGGACCATTCCTCAAGCACCCCTTCCCGGCCTTGCTACCCAAGGTACCGAGCCGCCGAAGTGGCGTGCTTGCAGTCGGGAGCAGACTCAACGTGCGAGTGCTTTTTTCGAAAGGATCCCGAAAAGCCGACCAGCAGGTCATGAATCAATCTATGAATCAATCCATAATATCCCAAAAGCCATAGTCAGCTTAAGAAAGAAAGGCGGGTGGGGTTTGATGGGTTTGACGCGTCATGAGACCAAGCCTGGCAGCCTGACCTGACAGACCTGACCGGGCTGTTCCGGAGGTCTTTGAGGCACCAGATCATGTGACGTTCAACGTGCGAAGCTTGGAAGCTTTTTGTATGTCATTGAATTTATATTTTATTACATACCTATCATATGATGTATGATATATATATATATATATGAGCAATCACTTTCATTTAGGCTTTACTAGAGTAGTCTACGGCATGCTCTAATTTGCTTGTCTATCATCAGTATTCGGTTGTGAACGAGATAGGGTCCCCACATAAACGAGATACTTTTGCTTGATGACACTAGAGTATAGCCTGAACCAGATACTGTGACATGACCTCCTACTTAAGTATATAGTCTAAACGAGATAGGACCCACATAATGGATAGTGTGTTTGAGTTTAGTATCAAAAAATGCTGCCGCACATATCATTTTTGTTGCTTCCAAGATTAATAAAGTTAGGTGGTTTTGCAAGTTTCCCATGACAGCCTGAGCCATGCCTTGAGCTTGTTGGGCAAACTGTTTGTAGAACTACACGCATGTGACTAGCGCTTTTGTAGATGGTCATAGCGATGGGCCACCGGTGATCGTCTCCGATGAATTCTTTCGACCGGTCGCTCCAGTGTGCCATCTCTGCCTGCGCCCGCGGAGACTCTGCCGCCTGGCATGCAGCTGTCAGCGTGTGGGGCTTCTCAGAGGCCCCGTGGAGAGGGATTCCGTCTTTGAGTAATTCACATTCAAAAAAGAATAGCTTCTTGTTACTACTAGTAACGCACTTGTTACTAGAAGCGATGCACTTGTTCCTAGTAGCTTCTTGTTCAGTCGCATGGTTTTGGACCGTGAGATGAACGGAATCTGAGTCGTGCAAGGTGAGTTCTCAGCTCGTCTCGTGTACAGATGACGGAATTGGAGCGCCGTCTGGTCTTGCAACGCCTACGCGTCGTCAGTCGTTTTGGGTTTCGCATGCTTTCAGGTTTGCTGGCCTACGCAAGCAGAGGCAGCGTGCTTTGCATGTGTCCTTTGAAGCGTGTTTGGACATACAGTATGTTCTTTCAAGCATTTTCAAACCATCTCTCAGCAACATTTTAGCCTTCACGTATCTCATAGCGAGGACGCAGAACTACGCAGAACTGCGCTCTCGCAACTGGACCGCGTCGGCAGAAGTTTTTCGCACGTCTGGCCAGTGTGCAGCCGAGCGACGTGACCTTCAACGCCAGCTCCAGTGCTTGTGCTTCTGCGGCTGTGGGGCTGCCTTTTCGGAAGTGACCGTTCGGAGAATCTTCAGATGTTGAAGATGAAGGTAAACTTGTTTACTTTTGAAGCTGAAATGTTCGTTGTGAAGCTGAAGCTGAGGCCTGGAGAGCAGCCATGAGTTTTTTGGAGCAGCTGGAAGACCCGAGGGGCCGCACTTCCGGCCCGAGCGTGGCAGGTGGGCCGTTCTGGCCGGTCCGTGCACCCGGCGTCCCGGCTGGGCAATCGGGGTGGTCCGCAGGCACGCGACTGGCTGGAGAGCTACTTGAGGATGAGCAGAGGCAGGGTGTGTGCATGGCGCTTGAATTCATGCGGTCCAATCAGACAACTGCTTGTACAAATGAAAGATTTCAAACGTCCGGTTGCACCATGAGGAATCATTTGTCTTCTGGACTGCTTCCAATGTACGAAGAAAGGAGGAATCTCCACTCATGTTCTCTCCGGTGGAGTGGCAGGAATCTCCAGCTTGCACAGCTTGTATCTGTGGGCGAAGTGGCACAGCTTGAGGAGAGTTTCAGGCTTGGATTTTCACTGTGTGACGTTTGTCATCACTATAAAAATGACGGATTATGCATAATGACGTACAGTATAAGGTGATCTCTCTGGATCGTTTCCTTCTATTTTCTATTGTTTTTAAATCACATATTTTAAGTGTCATTTCCTCCTGTCATCTCTACCAGTGAGCCAGGAACACGGGACAAGCTGGTCGCAACCGGCTGAACTCTATGGTCAACCGCTGGGCGCCTTCCATCAACCAAGCCGTGGTGAGCTGTGCGGAGGCGTGCCCCGAAGAACCCCGAAGCGTTGCCGGTGACGCGTCCAAAACGCCCGAAGGGTAAGGGAAACGGTCCTCTGAAAGGTTTTTGGGGCTTTCTTTCTGAAGGCTTTAAACCCTAAATCCCAAGGCAAGAAGGCCCAGCTTCCACAAGGCGCACAGAATCGCGTCGCGCGAGTTGACCAATCGCCTCGACACTGACAAACCACTGCGCGCGACACTCGCGGGTTGGGGGTTTCACGAGGGGCCCCAAGAGCGACACTCGCTGGTTCCCGGATGCTCGAAGTCCAAAACCGTGGAAAAACCGTCTGAAACAGTGGAGCATGATGTGAATATACCATAATATACCTATGTCTGAAACCTATGGTGTGATTTGTGGAGCATCCTTTTTTTGGGACTCGAGGTCTCCGTTTGGCAGCCTGCCTTGCTCGCAGCCCGGGAGCCTCGGAGTCCGGAGACCGACTGCCGACGGGGTCGCCAAAGAATCCCCCCGAGTCGTACACGTGGTGGGGACCTCGGTGATTGACACCCCCGTGATTGGCCGTAGTCGTGCTACAGGATCTGAAGATGTGTGACAACGACCAACAGACTCCAGACAGTCTCGACTGACTGCTGCTGTTTGTGTTGACCTCGAGTCTCCAGGTTGCAAACGCTGCACAGTGCGGCCTCTTCAGCAGCAAACCTAGTGTCAGTTTGCAGTTGTGCCAGCGCACGAGATGCCCAGCCCCATGTTGGTAATTGACAGAAGAGTCCAACCATGACCATCCCGATCGCGGCCTGCTCCATTCGCATTGTGGTTGAACGGATGTTCTATATATATATATATGCATATACACGCTATATTCTATACACAAATATGTAAAACGATAAACAAACATATACACATACTCATACTGCAATACATGTATAATAATATATCTACTGCATGTGGAACCCAGGTCCGACCATCTACACCTACAACTCCTTGGCCACAGCTTGCTTGCGTTGTCAGGGAGCCGAGAAGGCGTTCCGAGCGAGTTCGACAGCGATCGACTGACCGCGCTGCTGCGCCTTGTGGTGCCCTGTGTCAGGTCATGCTTGGTCATGGGGGCTGCTGCTTTTGGGTCTTGGGCTTGGAGGACTGACCAGATAGACACTCACAGACAGAGTAATAGACTGATGCTGCGGTGATAAAGTGAGTCAGGTACACTCTGGTCAGTCAGAATCAGTCGACATGGACCCAATCCTACAACATAAAGGGACAGCTTGACGGTGTCTGAGGCGATGCTAGGAGCAAGGGCTTGCGCTTGGATGCCTTCAGCGCAGCTTCTGCCTTCAGCAGCTGCCAAACCGAGAAGCAGTGGCAGGCCACATTGGAGTCTGTTGTGTGAAGAGGATGAGTTGGTATACATTAGCGAGTGCTCATGGGCTCTCCATCCTGCGTGTCCGGCACAAACTACAGAGTCAAATGCTCTTTTAAGGCAAGACCCTTTCGGTACGAAGATGAGATTTTGCAGGTCACCTCAAAGATTTTGCAGAGCTTACGAGTCGGTACGGAGCCTACACGGACGTGGAGACTTTTCGACACGAAATGCTTTGACAAAGCTTGCTCGTGTCAAGTGCTATGCTTTCGGCTTTTTCTTCATTTCGGAGCGTTCATCGGAACTTCTGGCTGGCTTCATAGCTTCAGCCTCCTGTGCTCCCAAGAGAAAGGAACGATAAACACTTTTCCTAGTGCCAAACTAAGAATCAAGGCTCCTGACAGTGCGAAGAGCGCGGTTTCAGGCGAAGATGAAGGGGTAGCACTGGACCTGGTGGTGGCCAGCTCTGCAATGACATCTTTCGAGAAAGGTGCCCAGTGCGGAAGCGGGTGTGCCTGGCTAGAGCGGTGACCATAATGACTGAAAAAGAAGGCCCTTGTATACCCTTGACAAAAACGGCAAGAAACGTTGCTCGCTGTGATCCGCTCCACATCGAGGTGTGTTGTCATTGCTCCAAGAGATTCTGACATTTGGTTGAGACTAGGGCTGGAGGGAGGTCCACTTCATGAAGTGAGATATATTTTCAGGAATGCCTCACACCCCCACAGCTTTGAGCATTCGTTGCGGGACCCGCGCAAACATCAAACCGACCGACCGGTGAGATTCTTTCACTCTGAGAGTCGCAGGCGACAGATGGCAAGATGCCATTGTCCTCTTTGTTTCCTCCGCGCTACAAGCGAGGACCATTTTTCTTTGACTTGGTTAAACCATGGTGCTAGCTTGTACAAAGACATTTATTTGAGATAGAGTCGGTTTCAGAACATGTACTTCAAGATTTGAGAGATTTGTTTTTCCACTGTATCTGATATCTTGTCTTTTTCCTCGAAAGCGGTCATTTGAGAAGCAAGATCGTTCATCTTCCAAACAACTAATGCAAAGACCAGGGCTCGGCTGTCGAGTTCCGAACGCCTGCCTTGCGGCCGCCTTGCAGTGCCTTGCAGGCTTTCACACAATGTGGTGAGCTGCAGTTCTGCCATCACTGCTTGTGAAGCAGGTGCCGTTTTGCCTCGTTTCTGCCCGCCGTTGTGCGTCGCCCCTTTTTTCGGAGGCGATTGGTGGCCAGGCGCCTTTGCCTTGCTTCAGCAGATGGGCACTGCAGCTTTGAGGCGACTTTTGAGAGCCGCTTGCTTCGGACAGGCGACATCGTTTACAGATCAGAAGCGCCAAAACGAGGGATGTTCGGTACACCGTAACAACCACGGACGCTGTGTTCTCCGGTTGGCCCTGTGAAGAAGCGGATGCGTGGATCAGGCCGAATGCAGTCAGCTACCAGGCCGCCTTGAGCTCCACCAAAGAAACATGGCGTTGTGCTTGAACCTTAAAAAGACACAAAACAGCGCAAGTGAATTGAAGATCTCTGAAGAGAGGACTAAAAGTTGTTTCTAAATTGGCTTCAAGTAATGTCATAATGTCCCTTGAAGCCAAACATACTTGTGGGAGTAGGATGGCACAGCATTTCTATCTATTTGGTGAAGAAGGGTGTACCACCTCCAAGGCTTTGAGTAGCTTCAGATTCATGGAGCGGGAAGGCGTGGCTGCTGCTCTTGCAGTGGTGGAAAGCACCTGCGAAGCGCTCTCAAGAACGGCTACCAACTTCAACTGTTTAAGTTTAACTATCATTTTGATCCTTGTAGCATAGCAACATAGCAATTTCCTCTATAAAATTGGAGCACCTAGGTGCTCGGTGAATCTACTTTCTTTATACAGCTACTGGAGGTTGGGTGCTTCAGTTTTATAGAGATGTTGGGGGTTCTAATTCTATAGAGGTGGTAGATCTAGAGTCTCTGTTTCCCAAGGTGGAAGTTTATGGAAATCAAGGGCTTGGGAAGCTGCCAGCTCATATGCTTTTCAGATTGAGAGGCGCATGTGCTGTACTTCACTTTATTTGCACGCAGCCTCACCCTCGTTGAGACAGAGCCGACGGCGGCCTTGCTTTTGGCCGGTTGCACTTGGTTGTAAACGCGAGAACCAATCACTTCGACGAATTGTCGCAGCTCATCGGTCTGCAACAAGCAATCCGGGGTGGAGACCCTTCTTTACCACGCCGAGCAACATCCGAACCCCGCGAACTTTGCTGGCGCCTTTCTTTTAATGTGCCAGCTCGAAACCAACTGCGCGAGCGGCCCCTGCTGAATTGATTTGCCTGCAAGGCAGGCCAAATAAGCCCTGCGCATTTTATCGTTCCCTTCAAGCGGTGTAGCGTGCCAGTGTCCATCCTCTTCGTCTTGTCAACCACAACTGATGGCCATGCTAGAAATACGCCGCCTTTTTTTTGCCAACGTGGTCATCTGCTGAAACTGAATCCCTGTTTCAGCCGACGTGAGCTTCTCTCGCTAAACCTCAATGCTTCTCACCAGCATGGAGCTTCTCCACTCCTCTCAGTAGTGTGGAGCTTCTCTGAGAGCCTGCGCGCCGTCGAGCAAGCTCCCACTTGCTGCCAGGAGCGCCGCTGCCACCTTGCAACCCGCCAGCACGGAATTTGAGCACTGTTTTTGCCGGTGGACGATTGCAGCGTTCAGTAGATCGCTCTCTGGTAGTTCTCACCGGTGCTCATTATATCAAAGTCCGAGCATCGTCTGCCACCAAATCACTCCCTCATTCCTTTGTCAACCTTCCATGTGTGGCCAAATTACATCTGTGATGTCGCTGCGCCATGCACTTTGCGCGGCCTCGGTGGAGAGTGTCTTTGCGCGAGACCGTGCCATTGGGAGAAGGAAAACGTGCTGGTGTCGCGGATGATTTGCGGTGTCCACGAGGTTGTGACCCTCATCACTCATGACCTTAAATATCACCACCACCATCTTCATCATCTTCAACCAATCCTCATCCTCACCGCACCTTCTGTCGTCTCCTGCGCTGCTTTCAGGCCACCCGGTCATCGAGGTTTTTGAGGGCTTGGTGGCAATCGCAATCAAAATAATCAAAAAGAATAGTGAATCGTGTTTAGATCCATGTGTGTCTGTGCAAGCAGTCAGCTGTCGTAAGAGGCATCAAATGGACAGTGCTCGGCTGTGAGCATGTGATTCGTGCCTGCGAGCATCGCCGCTGCCTTAGAGCAGATATATCCAACAAGTCCAATGAGACGATTGCAATGTATACAAAGGAGCATGCTCTTTCTTTGCAGGATACAGCACGGACCTGCTTGAAAGCGTAGTGTTAAGGTCAAACGACATAACATACAACCATGTGGGCCGATCTTTCTTTTCACTTATCGCCAACGCCAAAATTTAAATCACACCAAAAACACAATAGACTAGACGACAAATTCCCCATGTTTGGCTCAGGTGGCGAGTTGGGTGTTGTGAGACAGCTTTTGGAGCTGGTTCGGAAGAAGCCGGGAACTGAAGACGCCAAAGCTACACTCAAATGGTGAATTGTGGAGTGTAAACAATCTGGAATTTTGGTTTTCGCCATTCTCTGGTTTTGTTTGGTAGTGTTAATGAGTTGTTTTTTTCCACCCTTTGGACATTGGAGTCTCCATCTCACCATGGTCGGTTTCAGGTCTTTTTTGTTCTAGACATGGGAAACAAATTGTAGAGTTGGTCGATGAATGGTATTCGCAAGGCACTTTGCTGGGACAAGACAAGACCATTTTCAATTCATTTGCCCCGGGAAAAGGCTTTTGCAGCTGTAGGACGTGGGGACGCGGGGAAGACCTACCTTTGCAGCCAAGACCGAAGCATCCTTGGAGCCTCGGGTAGATGGTGCGCGTCCAAGGAATGATTGGGCCATTGGGCGCCCGCGATCCAGGTGCGCAGAGATTTTCGTTTCAATGCGCCGGGAACGAAATGGGAGTAGCAGAGAAGAGGGTATGCGCAATTCATTGCATTTTGTAGGTGTATAATTAAAATATACATAAAGAAAAAACAAACACACACACACATATATATATATACATATGAGATGGTAATAAGATGTAATAAGATGTAGTACCCCAGTGATGGACACAACTTCATTGTTGGATGATGTGCCTTCTGGGAGCGAACAAAATCCGTTGGTGCCATCCTTTGAGGTGGAGAAAAGCTTCACCAGGGCGTCGAAGGCCTCCAAGAGAGCTGCGAAAAAAGGGATCTCTTGGCTTTGAGCGGCCGCGCGGACCTTTGGGTATTCAAGAGACATCAGAGACATCACTGACAAGTGAGCAACAGAGATTGGTTGAGAGCAAGCGTGACGGCGTGACGTCAGTCCAAGTTGTCAAGCAGTTCTCTCATGTTTTTTTTTTTTTTTCTCTTGCAGAGGAATGAGGGATGGTGAGGCAAACATCTAAACATGAGAGGCTACCCCCTGGCTACTCTCATGCCACCTGTGAACACAACGAGCATGAATGAGCATGAGCGAGATGAGCCGAAGCGACCTCCGCAGCACCGAAACCGGCTCAGCCGACACCAAGCGAGACCGCCGCCTGTGACTTGTGCTGCTGGACGAAGAGTGGCCGCTTGGATCTGCTTGGCGGAAGTCTCGTTCATTTGATGAGATTTGTAGCAACCCTGATTCGCATGGAGAAACACATAGACTCCTTGTTTGCTGTCCCATATCCGACTTATTGTAATTATTAATTATTGTAGTTCTGTCGAATTCATGTCGGACATGGAATGTGACGATCTGGAGACCACTGTGGTAGATAGGTGTTTGGTGGGTTCCTTCCTTTGAGAGACACCCAAATGGGTGTCGGTTACAAGAACACGACCCAAAGATAGTGGGTGAACATCTCACATCTTGGACATTGACATGGAAAACAATTGGATTCTGCCAGCCACTTGTCTTGGTTTGCATCAGTTGTTGAGATATGGATGGAAGAATGTCAGCCCATAGGGTGTCTTGGGGCTCTCCCTGGTCTTCAAACACAGGCCAGGCCGCGACATGATTTGTAATTAGAATGGATGAGAAGTAAGAGGAGTGCAGAAGCGTGGTTTCCCTCTTGTTAGATCAGTGGCATGGCTAAGATCTCGTGAAGATCTCTTGTTCCCCAAAGAAAATCATTTAGTCTGGAAGGAGGGCCTGGGGCGGAGATTCCTGTCGTGATGCTTGGGGGGTTTCCCAGCCTGTGTAGGGCTGGTACACGGAAGCTCCGAGTCTAGGCAGCCATGGCGATCAGCAACAAAAAGTTGCAGAAAATCATGCCCCTTGGCAACAGCTTATTCAGTGATTTTGTTTCTGAGATTGAGAGCAAGTAGCTCGAAGTGTCATTTGCTCGTGACTCTTGACCATTTCCATTTAAAGATAGTCAAGATCGTTTTCACTTGAGTTTGATCGAAGGTATGAGAGGCTCATGATCAGGTCATGAGGAGGTACGTGCGATATGAGGCTGTATTAAACATATGCTACAAGGGTAGTTGATATCGTGTCTAGTTGTGATGTCTGCCATTGCTGAGGACCCTCCCCATCAACCAGATCTTTAGATATTTGCAGAACCGCTCGCGGGTACAGGCTAGCTTTCAACGATGGTTGGAAGGGGAGAGCTGGACAAGCATGGATTTCTTGTCTACATGGCTTTTGCATTGAGAGGTCTGGTTGCACGAACAAGCTGATCTCCGGATCGAAGGGCGGATCCTCGGCTTCGACGAGTGCCTCAGCTGCGGTGAAGGGTGGACTCTTGGGAAGAGAGAGAGAGGGAGAGAGATGAGGGTTTCCTGCCCCAAATGTCCTCTTGAACTCACATCATGCTCTTGCACCATAATCGAGGATTTTTGGATCCGGGCTGCTGCAGAACTTGTGGTCCTTGGGCCATTCACTCGTACATGTGGCTCAGGTACATGAACCTCGTCATAGATGATGCCGAGGCAAGCTGTGGGCCATTCAGAATTCCATAGAATTCAAAGATACGTCATTCTTTTTTCCCTTGGCCCAAGCAGGCAGTGGTTGCAGTTCCCGGCGCAAGTACAAAACCCCAAGGCATGGAAGCAGTTCACGTCAGGAAATCATGGTGAAGAAGAAGACCCGCCGCGCGATTGGTCCACGACCCAGTTTCGTCTTCTTTGCGAGCCAACCCGACGAGCCGTTGCCTGCTGTTCGTGACCCCCCGGCGATTGCAGCGTGATCAGGCCGCATTCTACTGAAAGGTGACAATATTTGTCTGATGATGAATACAGGCGCATGATGATGTGAAGATTCTATGTAAATGTGAGCTTTCCATGAGAAGCAGTTGCTGTCATTGTAGATCCTTTGAAAAGAGAACAGTCATGCTCCGTTTGCTCAAAAAGAGTCGATGTGTGCAGCTCAGTGGACGGTGCTGGGTTGAGCGATTATGCAGGGACAGGATGTCCCGAATGGGCGACAAGCTCTGCGGTCACGTCGTCTGGTAGTCTGGGTAGTCATGGAAGATCTACCAGGAGATTTTGGCGTCTCATCTCGAGAGATCGAGTTCGCTGGCTGAGAAGCTCGGAGCCAAAAGGATTCCGAGAATCGCAAGAACTGGAGTGGCAGGGATGTTGAGGCAGCCAGAGAATCATCCTTCAGTATCAATTTCTGTCAGAAGATGGTTTCATTTCTGCTGACCGCCTGGAACACCGCAGCTGTGTCAGCATGGCTAAGCCAGTCAAGCCAGCGGCATGGCAAGTGGCGCAAGAGCCGCAGGCAGGACAACACGCCCGCCCGTGGCGCCGGGTCGATGGGGTTTTCCGAGTCTCAACGTGGCTCGGTCCAGCCGTGAGACCCGCCGTGAGACGGTTCCATCAAGGGTGGCCAGGGCTGCGCTGGGGGGTGCCAGCCGATATCCCCATTTCGGTGGTGAGGCATTAAGCCTGCCAGCGTTCCGCCAGTGGCAGCGCCGCATTGCCAGGCGGGAAACATTTAGGGTTTGTTTTGCTTGGAGAATGCCAAGGCAATATAAGGCAACATTTATGATATTTTATGATGTGAGCAAGTGTGCAGCATGTTCAGAGCAAGCTTAGGTACAAACCTGAACGCTGAGTGAAGGGACTAAGGGAGGAGCGTTGTGTGAGATGTCTAGCTCGCCCCTCTACAATTCTCTCAGGCATCGCCAGCACCTCATAGCAGCAAAAGAGGTCACAGATATCTCGCAGTACGAGCGAGAGGAGCGGGCGCACTGGGTGGTACGAGGAAGGTGACCATGACAAAGTGCAAAATCGTAGCTGACCCCCTTGGGGTAGTTGTGAACATATGTGAAAACTTCTTGTTTTCAGAGGCGAAATCCCACTTGGACCCACCGAAGCAAGCGGTCGGAGCGAGGGACTGGTCAGTGGAGCTCGTGCGAGGTTCAAGAGCTCGAGCGAGCCTCTGCGGCACACAAGAGCTCTCGAAAGTTGGAGCCCCAGTTGTTCGGGGTGAGAAAGACGTGATGAAAAGAATCACGGCACCGGACCGGCACCCAGTAATTAATGGGGGTAGTTTCTTGAAAGCATGAAACATTGGAAACAAGATGAAACAAGCTACTGATATGCCTTTTTTGGCTGGTTCGGAAGGAAGTTTAAGAGCAAGCTCTTTTGCAGAGTCTTCCTGACAACGTCGCTGGTCAGGGCGCAGAAGCGCGAGGAAGAAGCGAAGCTAAAGAAAGATAACGCAGGGCAGCCCAACTTTTCGCTCTTGGACTTGGACAATCAGTTTAGCACATGTTCGACAAGAAAGGGCGACCACGTCTCAGCGGTTTGGCACGTCTTTTTCGGTGTTACCACGCGACCCAGTGGGTCATGAAAGCTCAGTTTGTGACATTGTTGCCTGGAGATATTCAGAGTGAGACGAAGGAAGGAGCCCCTAGTAGCGTCCTTGCTCCTATTAGCGATGCCAGGAGCCCCTAGTAGCGTCCTTGTTCCTAGTAGTAAGACCAGGAGCCCCTAGTAGCGTCCTAGTTGTTCAAGAGATACCTGGCTCATCCTGGCGTTATGTTCCACTCCTTGGTCCAGTCAGGTCCGCTTAGTTCAAAAGCTATGCGATGTCGCCCGTACAGCTGGCAACCTTGCGTGAGAGTTCTTTTTCGATGCTTGGTCAACACTGACCACCCAAAGCATAGTCGATGGGCATTCAGTATTTCAGTTGAACCATTCTGCTCCTTGTTTGGGTATGTTATTTGGGTGTGGAATGAGGTGGGGTTGCCCTGCTCGTTTGCTCATTTGCTGCATTTGGCAGCGCGCTTGCCAGGCCAGTCGGAGAAACGACAAGAAGCTATCTCCGCATGAGACTCTGCATGTTTGTTTGTGGCAAGGGCGGATGGTGGAGAGCGAAGTTGCGATTTGTTCGGACGATCCTTTGACACCATGGTTCGACCAGTCACACTGCGATGACTCCAGCCCCGTCCTTTTTCGCTCAAAGAGAACCCATGGCCAAGCTTCTACATTGATCCACCGGATCCTGAGGCGCGGTCGGATCCAGCTGGTGCTAGCGTCCTGAAATTCAAGCCTCAAAGAATGAAGAGGCCTGGGCCGGAGCAATCACCCAGCGAAGCGGTAGAACTCGGAGAACACGTGTTCACGTGTTTCATCGTTGTGCATGGTGCAGCTCTTTTTCAAGATTGAAGATGGAAACGATCACACGGAACGCCGGACATTGGGTCGGAGGGGTTGTGAGACCCACTTACTGTAGCCTAGTAGCCTAAGGCAGCAGGCGATTTTCGCCGACAACTTGGCGCTGCTGGAGCCTAAGGAAGCGCTGCAATGGTTGGTGTGAAAGCCGTTCGTTCGCCCCAGATTGACCTCCCAAAATGGATTCGGATAGGGATCTTCACTTACCCAACGGTGGTTTGGATCATCCACCTCCACAGGTGGAGAAGCAATGGTCTAGCAGTCTAGCCTCCAATGCCTCCAGGGTGAAGATATGGGTTTGATTGGGGCTCTAAGCGCCGTTCCGAAATTGAACCGCAGTGCTCACCTGGTTTTTCGATGTCACCTGGGATTCACCGAGTGACTCATCGACGACGCCAGTGCCGTCCGGTTGGTTCCGGGCGCCGCGCTGAGGTTGCATCGGCTGGAGACGGTGCGTTCGGTGGTGCCTTCGGCCTCACAGGCACGACGTGACGCGGAAACGCCCCGTTTCCGCCGGGGGGTAGAGACATCCTTACTAGCAAGAAAGGGAGTTATATGACATATTATATGAGTTGTATTTATGAGTCATTATGAGTCGGCCTATAGGATGCCTAAGGGTTCTCCTCGTTCGCGGGTTGAAGGGGCCAAGGGGCTTTTAAAAAAGAAGAAAGGGTCTCAATCCGTGACGCCACTTGGTTTGGAAGTTTGGGTGCTCGTGGTGGCGTTGGTCTCAATCCGTGAGCGCTTTTTGGACCGCACGGATGAGGCCGTGGAGTCGCACTCCAGACATCGGGCGATCGTCGGGGGCACCCGGTGGTGTTCACATCGGACACGGTGAAGAAGTGGAAGAGTCATCTCCGACCGGGTTGGCTCTGTGGAGCAAGGTGCTCAAGAGCCATTCATTGGAAAGTGCGATGAAGCACGGAATGAGGGTGGCTGAATCCAAAGAAGCCGGCAAAACTTCCCTTATCACTGGGAGCCTGTAGTTAGGTGCTGGGCCCTTGCTGACCACCGAAAATGAACAGAATAGATTACTAGGCAGGTTAACCGATTAGGGGAAACGGAGCTGCAGGTTTTGACCCACTGCCATGTTAGGTTAAGATCTCCATGAAGTCCTCAGTTCATTCTTTTGGAGATGTAAATGTAGGCTGCCATGATGGTCGCATGGATGGACCAATTTCGCTCCTCGAACAAATCGAGCGATCAATGAGCGTGACACATTTTCGGGATTTGGCGTGGACAAAATTGTTTCCAGACTTCCAGACTGGTTCCAGAGAAACAACAGCTGGAACATATTGGAAAAGTTCAAGTTACGCTAGTTTTTGGGTGTAACTCAACAGTGAAGATCCCATACAAGCGTCAGACACGTACAGAAGCATGCAGGTGTAGAATGCTCATGCCTCAAACCAGTGTTGAAGCTGGATTGAGACCATTTGTTTGAAGTCCGGAACTCTTTGGATAAATGATGTCGAAGCACTGCCCTCCAAGAGTGTTCTTGTCATATGATGTCAGAGGATGGAGTTCCTTCACGTCAGATCTGAACAGCAAAGAATCTGAACAGCTCTGTTGATGGGACCTCCGAAATGGCTCCCGATCTCCGAACGGCTGCGACACGTCCTGGAAAAGCTAAGGCTGCACGTTTGTCTCGGTCGCGCCGTCCAGTTGGGATGGCGAGGGAGCCCATTTTGTTTTGACTCAGAACCGGACGAAAGGAGTTTCTGGGCAGTAGAGAGTAGAGATGTGTAGAGATGATGTATTTCTCAATATGTTTAAAAGACTTTCTTACTTTGGTATAGTTCTTTTTAATTCACCAGTGACCAGCAAGTCTGCTGGTTCATGTGGAATCCAGGCCATGAAACATCCGCAAGTGTTCTCCTGTGCTAGAGCCTTGACTAAGCTTGAAAAGCCTTGAAGCTGAGCAGCAAGGCACGTCCAGTCCCTCCTCCAGGGAGACCGTCTGGACCGCGGCTGCGTCGAGGCGAGACCGAGCAGAGCAGCTCCAGAGCCGAACAGTTCTTTCAGATTGCTTCAGCGCTTCGAGAATTTGCCTCAAAGCTGAGAATCAATCCATATTCATCCAGCATTCAGCTCGGGTTGTTTGGTCGAATGCAGGCCCTGGGGCAGCTGAGCCTGAGCAAAGCAGGATGAACGGGGGCTGGCGCGGGAGGAATCAGAGCACTAGGCTGTTTTTTGGTCTCCAAGGTGTAACTTTGCAACTTTACGCAAGCATCTAGAATCTTCGATCTGTTGACAGCAATCTTTCCAAACTGAACAACCTGACTACAGTATATTCTCCCTTCCGACACACCGTGAGGCAATTTCATCCAACTCCACTGGGAGAAGCCTCTTTTTTCTGACCTGTATGCTTTTTGCAAGAGATTGATTGTCTTCATGAGACTCACCGGAAGATTTTGCAGGATGGCCGTGCTGCCCAAAGTGCCTCCTGAAGTTCCGGAATTGCCCGAAGTGTCAGGGCTCCAGCACGCTTTCGTCGACGGCGAGCTTCTGGTAGCTCAGGGTGGTGCGGGTTTGAACTGATGTTTTGAAGCACAGGTGGAATATATAGTGTCCCAAATATGGTGACTGATTTGTGGCATCCCCAAATGAAGATCATGGACGACCACCAAGGTCAATCGAGGCCGATTTGGGGTTTCGGTGATTTCAGTCCCCAGTGGGTGGCTCCAAAAGGAAACCCAGCTCCGCTCAGATCTACTCTCCATTAGAAGTACCTGGATTTTTCGGTCTAGAAGGAGGTCCCCGAATTGGCGGTGGTTGTTAGTTGCACGATGACTCTGTTCCAAGGGCTGTTCCCACTACGTCCTCTGTTTCGTTCCGCGAAAAGCAGCTGAGGACATTTTCCGAAGTGGAAGCGGCAACCTCAGAGAGGTGAAGAGCTGTCAATGCGGAAGAGCTGTCAGCGGAATGGCCAGTGGCACAAAGAGATGAGTGGCCAGTGGCCATAAATCAGAAGGCATATCAAAAGCATTGACCAAAGGCTTGACAAAACCTTGGGATTTCACACGTGGCCTGGCTTGTAGGGGATGGTCATCTTCCGAGGCAGGAGCCAGGAGAGTTCCGCTTCATTTGGCAGAAGCAGAGGTGGGCAGCCCGGCCATGTGGCGGCCAAAAACCGAATTCCCCGAACGACAGAGGTCCACCCATGGGCCGGCTTGGTATCATCGGCAAGACCCCGACGGTGCTCTAAACGTTGTTTTTGCGATACGAATGGTCAACGGTCGACCCCTCCTGCGGACGGTATAGGATATAGACCGCGTCTCAAGGCCGTGCTGCTTCTTCCTGCGTTGGAGGATAGGGAGGACCGCTCTGAACCACGCTCGTGAAACGTAAGAGTGCGCATGATGCCAATGCATTAGAGTTGGGTTTGGCTAAAAAGACATCCAGAAAATCAGCTGGCGAATCTATTCTTTTTGGAGCCATTGTACTAGCAACTATTAGACTGTTGGGCCATTCACATTTCGCATGAGTGCGTGTCCTTTTTGTTTGTTTGTTAGTTAGTCACTTCAGTGCAGGACCTTAGCAGAATGCTCCCGATCACCTACAACGAGCATGGGATGGGAACGGCCTCTCCAGTCAAAGAGAAGGTGACACTGGGATAAGGTCTCCAGAGATCCGTCACCACTTAGAGCATCGGCAGTTCTGGCAGTTTTCTTGTTCCTAGTAGTAAGGCCAGGAGCCCCTAGTAATCCGAGGATTCCATCAAAGCCACCTGGAAGGAAACCTCTGAAAATACCGTGTACCGCTGACCTTCCTTCCGGCTTCGGACGAGCTGATGAGTCAGACCAGTGGGTTCAATCTGTGAGCTCCGTGAGCTCAGCGGTGCCAGGACACGAGTGATGCAGGCCCACCGACCGCCAAGCGTGGAAATCAAGCACAAAGAAGATTGGTTGAACTTGGAAGACGAACGACTTGCCATACCTGCCCTTGTCGGTGACAAACACATTTTTTTTTTCAGTGGAGCTGTTCATTTCTTCTGGCACCTCATGCGTCCTCATGCCAGGTAGTGAATTCCCTGAGGATTTCGAGGATCCAAGTGATTCCGAGTCCGAGAGATAGGCTCTTTTAAGGCCAGCCGCTTGTCTGAGCGGTGCATGTAGTATAACACACCCAGCCAGACTGGGATCAGGTGGGAACTTGGCCCTGGGCGCCTGTGTTCACGAGGGGGGGGGGCGATGACAAGATGCCAGATGGTCGAAATATTGGACGATCCCAGGTCCTTTCATGGTCCTTTCTGTCCAGATTCAGCAGATGACAATCCCTCAGGTGAATCGATCTTTTTCCTGATACTGTAGATATGTAGGATGATTGATGTGGTGCCAAGAAGTTCCTGCCTGAGTGAGCTTAGAACCTCACCACGGTGTTGGAGGCCTTGCTTTCAGCGTTACTTAGCATGCAAACAGCCTCGTCATTTCAAGTAGAACACTGAAACCAAAGCCCGACTTGGGCAGAGCGCTCTACCCAAGTCTTGTGGTGGAGTTTCACCTCGGTCACCTCGGTGTCTCCAAAACGCGTCCAGCGCGAAACCATCACTGCTTGACAGCAAGTCCCCGGTGGCGCAGCTTTCTCGCTGGACGCGACCCGGTGGCGCGACCCGAACGGTCCACGCAGCTCTCCGCAGTTCGTCCGCAGTTCGCGACCAAAGGACCGAAGGGATGCGAACATCGACTGACGAGCGACCAGTGTCGGGCCCCGTACCGAAGGCGATGACGGCGCTGAGCCGGAGATTTTGGGCTCCAGAGCTATGGCAGAGCAGTTGACTTGGTTTGAAGATGGTTTGATGCAATGTTCTAGCATGTTCTAGCATTCTTCAGTTCTGTTTTCTCAGTTCACAGCTGAGAGCGTTCAAGAAAGACTCAGAAGTAAGGATCCGAACGTGGTTTTCCCACAACGTTTGATCAAGACCCAGTTGCCGGTGAAGCTAAAGAGATCAGATCAGCATTTCAGAGCCGAAAAGGATGTTGAAATCTTTTGAACACATCGTTGGTGATTCAAAATTATATAAAGATTGCACCCTTTTTGAATCGTTTTGAATCGCTGTGGATGCCGGTGCCCAGCAACCTGGCGCGTGGTGCGGCCGGGCGCCGTTCCTGGGCTGGTGAGTTTGCCTTGGCCGTTCGATGTGAGGAAGGGCTTTTTGTGGTCTTGAGACGGTTGGTAGCGTGGCATGCTGGTAGCATGAAAACAAAATATATAAAGCAATATGTAATATGAATCTGAAGCATTATCCATCCAAGGGCTGAAAGGATTCATGCAGACCTGTTCCGAGTGTTTTGTTGTTTCCCGCAGGATCCAGCTTCTGCCTTGGCCAATCCTCACACCTGGCAACGTGTGGCCTTGCCTGTGGCAGACTATCCGGAGCTGGACGCCCTGCCGTTGACCAAGACGCTGGTGCCCGAGGCCCCCAAGCGCACCTACCGGCAACGAGTGGAGCCTTGGCGGCCTTGCTACTCCGCTTCGACTCGCACCTGGACCGGACTCAGAGCTTCTGACAGATCACGGCGGCTTCCTTTTTGAGGGCTCTGCATTGGCGATTGGACGAACAACTCCTTTCAGCTTGTTTTCCATCAGGATGAAGCCAAGAGCACGGTCCATTGGGGCCAACGGAAGCTCTTCATGGCCGAGCTGGAGCCCTTGCCTCGAAGGATTAGCGTCTTTCAGGACCAGGATGGACCGATGGACTCGCAGGACCGACCAATCGCCGATCCTCGGATCAGTGATGGGTGCTTGCAGTACTTGGACTGGATTGGACTGCAGGCTTCTCCTGGATTTTGCCAGCGAAGCGCAGTTGTTGGTGTATGCAGGTGCCCAGCGTGAGAGTTTTTGAATTGCCGCTCTTGCTTTTGTTGTTTCGGTTTTCCATTCTAAGTGATGGGTTGGTTCACACGACTGAGAAGCAAAGCCCAGGGAAAGCCCAGGGAAAACTGGACACCCATGTCTAAGGCTAAAGGTGTATGCACAGGATCAGGTAGGAGTTCATCCATCATATCAGTATCCTCCCTCCTCAACAAGCATGATGGAATCTTTGGAGACAACGCTTCATCACGAACGTTTCATGAACGTTGGGGGTGAAGCATCATGGCTGCTAAAGAGGGGCCAGCTGTCTTCCCCCCAACAGAAGCAACAGCGGTAGTCAGCGACGAGACGAGGTGCTGCCGAAGGCCAGCACTTAGCGTTCCTGTGTGAGCTCTTCCCGGAAATCGAGGCGCCACACGACATGCAAACTGGCGCGGACACATCCAACCGGGGCTTCAAAAGAGACCAAAAGCAAAGTCTTTTTGAACCACTGGGACCTCAGAATCCTCATGAGTCACTCGATGATACTCGATGCATTTCCCTCATCCGTCCCACCAGCTGGCAGGTCGAAGCCTGGGACCCGCGGCCCTTTGCCCCATCGGCGGCCGACGTCTTACGGCCGACGTCTTTGCCCGGTGACCGGACTTCTCCAGTGCTCGACCGACGTCCGCTTTCGATCGAGGTGCCGCCGGAGGCGCCGGAGAATCTGCACGTCCACCAGGACCGGGGTCGCTTCGTTGGGATATTCTAACTCTTTTTGGAAGGACTTGGGTGGGATGACCGCAGATGAGTAGCAATGGCCTCCAAGCTAATAGCGATGGCCTCCAAGCTAATAGCGATGGCTTCCAAGCCAATAGGGATGGCCTCCAAGCTAATAACGATGGCCTCCAAGCTTAATAGCAATGGCCTCCAAGCCATGGCCTCCAAGCTAAGAGCGATGGCCTCCAAGCTAATAGCGATGGCCTCTAGAACGAAGCTAATAGCGATGGCCTCCAAGCTAAGAGCGATGGCTTCCAGGCTTATAGCGATGACCTGATAGCGATGGCCTCCAAAATAATAGCGATGCCTCCAATGGTTTGCTTCTCTTTTTGGGAGGACTTGGGGAGGCTGACTGCAGATGAGGGATGTGTTCAGGGTGGTGATCGATCAGTGGAAGCGGGCGAGTTTGGTAGGACACTTGAAGTATCTTTGCACATAGAAAAAGCTTGAGGGTACATGGGTAAACCGGGCAAACAATCGGTAAATATATAATGTAATTGCACAGGCTGCTGATGTGATTGGTTGTTGGGCACTTCCACAATCCACAGGGAGCAGACCAAGCTGAGCTGAGCAGGAGTATTTTACAGATGATGTGGCCAAGGACTTGGCAAACAGAGATGCATCAGCCTCAGATTTAGCAATGTGGCTGTTGGTGTACCTATCAAAAAGACCATTTAGGTGTCAACTCTCCATGGTCTTCCACAGCCCAACAATCAAATCCATAGAAATCCCAGAAGTACCATGTTTCTGACGTCGTGGCTTATTCCGTGGCTTCCGCTCGGGCGGTCGAGGTCCCCATCCTTTTCGTGAGTGACATCCGTACGGCCAACTGGCAAGTTGATACAGTTCAGTGGCCCAGTGGGTTTACCGGGCAGAGTTCAGAGAGTATGGAGACAACAGATTTCAGTGTGTCAGAGGTTGTGGATCGAATTCTTGCAACAAACAGTTGAGCCTGTCACCCAAGAGGCGAAAGAATGTCTACCTGGGTCTACCTGTTGATCCGATGTCCGATGTCCTCATGTCTGTTGCGATGCCGTGAGGGATCGACAGAAAAGACTCGACGATCCCGTGCTGAGACTGAAGAGCACGACCGCCGCTTGCTGGCCGACCTTCAAGCGCAGCAGAGATGGGTGCCCAAGAGCGAAGAAGACGTGCTGAGACCAATGAGAATCGATACATAAGAAAGAGCCTCACATTCTGAGCGCAAAGAGCCCCACCTTTTGCTTGGCCCGGAGGTGGAAGTGCTCCACCCCAAACGAGCTCTTTTGCAAAGCTGCCATGATTTGTGGGAGGACAAGTCGACATCACGCCTTTGAAACAGGTGCTTGTAGGATTATGATTTGGATGATCGAAGCTTTATTAATTCACACTTGCATGTAGCTTGCGGGTGCAAGTTTTATGTTCCCTGAAGTTCACAAAATGTCCCACCGGGACATTTTGGCTCAAGCTGGTGGCAATCATCCACAGGATTGCACCTGAACTCTGGAGAAAAACTCGCTAGTACATCGGTTTTACTCGAACACGACGCAATGGCGCACCCGATGGAAGAGGAGTACTCCATCATCGAAACTACAACCCTGGCTCTGCCAGGTGATGATTGGGATTTGGCTACGGTCAGTAGCCCGGGCATCGAGAGTATGGACCAGGCAGCTGATGCTGCGTCTACAGCCCTCCGTCATGCGGAGGCGGAAGGATCCCGTGGACTTGCTTGCTTTGGGGAACCTGTCCTGGTTTCTGAGCTCGACGCTCAAGAGCAAATGCGCCAGCTAGTGCGCCACATGGACAACCTCAAGGTCCAGATCGCAAACCAAGAAGACGCGAACATGGGTGTGGACCTCCTGGGGCTGAACGACCCTGCTGATGCGGGCTCCCTGGACTCTTATATCCACCCAACGTGTCCAGACCTCTCGCCTTTGATTTGGGCGGTTGACATCCGACGTGATAAGGGGCCCTTGGGCCAAGATATGTTACAGCAGCCCCTAGGCCAGCTGACAGGTCGAACCTGCAGGGTCTCAAATTTGTCCTTTTGCTTTCCGAAGGTCTCAGGTGGCCTATGATCTTGGACTTCAGTATATACCAACTGCTGTAGAATGTTATCAAATCACATTTTACTTGGCATTTTACAATTCTGTTTTTGTCATTTCCTTTTTCCCCTATGTGGCCTAAAATCTGCCGCTTGCCTACGCATTATCGTCTCACTGTTGCTACTTCTAAGCACCCACTCTGAACTGTCGTTTTTTTGCATCGCGTGGATTGCATGTTGCTCAAGGCCATGGCAAATACACCTGGCTTCGACACCGTACTTGACCCGGATGAAAGGTGATCAAGAATCCTGAAGCAGAGAGAGAGTGTGTGTGAAACATTTTGAACCTTCTACAGTTAGCAAACTGAGCAAACGTTGGGAATGTTTCACATTCCATTTTCTACGGGAGATTTGTGAATCTGATGCGGGATCAGTTCAGAGATAATGCTCCACAGCAGATTTGTTCTGGAGTTGACCTTGCCGGCTTTTCTGAGTCAGCTCAGTCACCGAGGCTTTGGCAAATCCTGATCTTGCTAAGGGCTAAGGTGGGACAAGTGGACAAAGGAGTTTTGGGTGTCCATGTTTGGTGAATTTTTATCTTTGTGTCATGTTTGTGAGTTTTACAGCAATCCGTTGTGGGCTTTCACCGAAGCTCTTCATGGCAGGCATCAGGTTCGCAACCTGATTTGCTGTCGGCTGGATCCTTGATTTGCCTGTGAGAGAACGCCTGTGCTGAATTTGTATTCAATTTTTAATTTGCATTTAGGTACTGTAAGGGGTCGCTATGCTCCCCACAGGAAAACAGCTGGGGTTCGAACTTTCCTGTAACCGCTGTGAAAGGGTGTCATGAATGATTGTTGCGCAAGTTGTGGGATTGCCCTCCAATCCTGTATGAGCCACGGCGAACATTGGGGACGACCAAGCGACTGAGCAGGAGAGGTATAGGACGTGGCCACGTGGGGCGTTTCGCCATTGTCATGGTTCCTCTACCAAGGCCTTCGCCAACCCTGACCTTTCGAAGGCGTGACTATAGAATCCTCAAGGGTTACTTATACTTGTTGTTTTTTCTATTAGCTTGGGGGCCATCGCTTCTAGGTTGGAGGCCATGCCTCTTAGGTTGGAGGCCATCACTAGTAGGTAGGAGGCCATCATGAGGTAGGAGGCCATCACTAGTAGGTTGGAGGCCATCGCGTCGCACTTTCTTCTTAGATCGACGCGCCTCCCTTCAAGGTGTGGACATCTCAGCCCGATCTGTTGCCTTACCAGTAGTAACAAGAAGCTACTAGTAACAAGAAGCTACTAGGAACAAGT